GCATCTCTGCGCCCTCGCCGGCCCACAAACACACTGCCTCCGGCCTGGCTACCCCGTCACACTCCTCCGCAGCTGCGCTTGAAGCGATTAGTGGTGGCGGCCAACCAAAGTCCGTCTCGGCGGCGACGCCCTCGCTCGGCGGGGCCACTCCGGCGAACCACGAACCAGCGACGCCCTCTTCCAACCTGATGCAGGGGAGCCTCTTTTCGGGCGGCCCGATGACTCCGCGAACGCCCATGTCGGTGGAGTGCCAGATAGTGCCACAACTGCAGAACATCGTCTCCACGGTGAACCTGGGTTGCAAGCTAGACCTGAAGAAGATTGCCCTGCACGCTCGAAATGCCGAGTACAATCCAAAGCGTTTTGCCGCCGTCATCATGCGCATTCGAGAGCCTCGAACGACGGCGCTGATTTTTAGGTAGGTGAAAAGTCGCTTTTACAAGGGTATTTTAATCAATTTTTACACATTTTATACAGTTCAGGAAAGATGGTCTGCACCGGTGCAAAGAGTGAAGAGATGTCCAGGTTAGCGGCGCGCAAATACGCCCGAATTGTGCAAAAGCTTGGCTTTGAGGTCAGTTTTTTCTCAGGTTTTTTGTAGCAATGAAAAAGTACTAACGAAGATTTTCCTTCTTCTTCACTGTAGGCCAAGTTTTCTGACTTTAAGATTCAAAACATGGTGGGCAGCTGCGACGTCAAGTTCCCCATTCGCCTAGAGGGCCTCGTCCTGACGCACAGTCAATTCTCCAGCTACGAGCCGGAGCTCTTTCCCGGTCTCATCTACCGAATGGTCAAACCGCGCATTGTCCTCCTCATCTTCGTCTCCGGAAAGGTGGTGCTCACCGGTAAGAGATCAATTCGTCTCTCGTTTTGCTGTTGATTGTTTACTAATTCCCATTATGCTTTAGGTGCCAAAGAGCGCAATGAAATCTACCAAGCCTTTGAGTACATCTACCCCATTTTAAAGGGCTTTCGCAAGCAGTAGTGGCGGTAGAGGAATTCTGGTTCTCATGAAGAAGGTGGTGTGCCTCTCACCCTCATTAGCACATTTATGCTCATTTCCATCTTCATTTCCCTTTTTCTTCCACCTCATCACCTTTTTCAGCATGTGCNGGAGGAATTCTGGTCCTCAAGAAGAAGGTGGTGTCCCTCTCACCCTCATTAGCACATTTATGCTCATTTCCATCTTCATTTCCCTTTTTCTTCCACCTCANAGAGGAATTCTGGTTCTCATGAAGAAGGTGGTGTGCCTCTCACCCTCATTAGCACATTTATGCTCATTTCCATCTTCATTTCCCTTTTTCTTCCACCTCATCACCTTTTTCAGCATGTGCAAACACCCACCCACCATTTACCTCTCTCTCTCGCCGAACAACCGCACACTTATCACTCATTTATCGGCTGCAACAGCAGAGCACCATTTTAATTGTTCTCTTCTCTTTTTTACCTGGATCTCTTCCCTTCCCTTCCTCAGGTGAGAGAGGCTGATCTTACCAAACTTATTCTTCTTACCGCCCATTATAATATAATTCACCTGAACTAAACTGAACACCAACTGTACATTGCCTCTTTTTGTATTTATAAACTCTCATTTCTTGTCAAAACTTTAATTAAAGTAACTGCTGCTGCTGTTGGTAAAATTTCAGCTGTGAACTGGGATTATTCAAAAAATAAATTCAATAAATTCCGTTTTTCGGTAAATGCAACCAGGTTAACAAGTTAAATAGAAGTCACACTCTCGGAGGTGTCAATAAATAAAATTGCAAGCAGAAAACACTCTTTACAAAGTACGGCTTTCTTCTTCGGAGACGAGAACACCTTTCGGCTTCCTGCTGTGTGTGTGTGAATGAGGTAATTCGATTGAATATCGGCGATAATCAGTGGTAAAATAGAACAGGTAGTAACAATAAAAGGGAAGAGGAGAGAGAGAGAGAGAGAGTTAAAAGGATAACGGCGTAAGAAGTAAAAGTAAAGTGTGTCTGTGTTTTTTGAAGTGATCAACAAAACTTGATAAATGTTTGTGCAGTGTGTTTGCGTGTGTGCTTGTTGTGTGAAATGCAGCTGACTCGAAAATGAATGAAAATAGAAATGCTTCAAAACATGTGCTCCAAGACTGTCTGACTGGTGACTTTCACCTCCTATTGACCATCAGCTCTTGGGGAGCCGCCGGTGATCGTCCACCACCTCTTCCGTTCACCATCATCTGCTGGTCCTGGTCCTGGTCCTCGTCCTCGGGCACCTGGTGCCAGCCACCGGTCAGCTTGAGAAAGTCTTCCTCGCTGAGGCGGCCGTCGTTCTCCTTGGAGCGCATCGACAGGCAGATGTAGCCACCGATAAACTCGTGAATGACCTTGCAGTCGGCGGAGAGGCAGGCGAACTCGATCGTTTCCTCGTTGAAGTGCACCGTCATCCGCTTCACCTCCCAGTTGACGTTCCAATCGATGAGGCTGCTGTACCGCCAGGAACGGAGAATCGCCCCCGTGCTGGCGTCCAGCAGCAGCAGTTGGGTGGGCGCCACGCCGAGCAGCTCCTGAGAGAGAAAGAGAGAATAAAAAGGTTTTGGTTAGCTTGTTGTTGTTTTGGTTTTATCTCTCTTTCACTTGCCTCCTTCTTTGACTTAGAGAGACGAACGATGAAGAGCGTGACGGCGTAGTCGCGCAGCGACTGGCACGTCCTGATGAAGGTCATCTGCGCCTCGATGGGCGACTCGTGGGCAAAGTTCCCGTGCACGTGCTTGATCTTTCGCAGAATCTAAAGCAGAAATGGAGAAAATGTTTGGTAAGTACAACTGTTTTGTTAGTTTATCCCCAAACGTTATTTCAGTACCTGTTCCTTTGACTTTCGCTTGAGCAGTCGCGGTGAGACGTACTCCTCCAGCGGTATGTTCAGCTGCTCCAGGTCGGCGGTGGGCAGCGGAAGGGTGATGCCGGTAAGGGGCGAGGAGGACTTGGCACTACTGGAGCCCTTGGTGCTGGTCTGAATCTGCAGCAACCTGAGGGTCTTCTTCACCTCGTCGCCGTAGCTGGCGTGGGCCATCGTCCGGCCGGCGCTGGCCAGTCGACAGGCGGTGTACCAGCGGGCGTACTGCTCCTCGTCGCGGCACTTGATCAGATGATTGACCACCATAACTCCATTCTCCGAAGTGCGAGTCTCGATGATCGAGAAGCAGAAGCGGCGAGCGCTGGCCAGCACATCGGGCTTCACGTCGCAGTTTCGCTGGATGTTGAGCGTCATCACCGGAATGGAGGCGGTGTCGGTGGCCTTGGCCGCCTCCGCTGACTTGTACACCACCAGGCAGGTGTCGCGAAGTACTACGTGGTAGGACTTTTCCGAGGAGCTGGTTAGAAATTTGAGGCGGCTCAGGGTGCCTCCGCCATTCGAAGCGGCGGCGCCGCCCTTAGACGAGGTAATCTTCAGTTTCTCCGCCAGCTCGGGCACCACCAGAATGTTGTGCTGTTGGTTTCCATTTGAGTGACCATTGCTTTTGCCGTTGGCGTAGCCGCCATTGGAAGCAGCACTACCGTTACCATTTGGTTTCGCCTCGATGTAGGTGCCCTCCAGCGTCTTCTCCAGGTCCTCTAGCGCCGAGTCGATCTCATCGACGGGCGACATTTCGGGGTTGTAGTGGTTGTAGTGGTGATGGCCATTGCCGTTTCCGTTCACGTGGTGAACTCCATTGCCGTTGCCGTAGCCATTGGTATAGCCATTCCCATGGCCATTCTGACCGCCATTGCCGATGCTATTGAAGCGAAAGAAACCACCACCGCCTCCTCCGTTGATTTTTGGCGAATCGACTGAATCGTAGGCGTAAGGACTGCCTTTGCCATTGGCTCCATTAGTTCCATTAGTTGAAGTTCCATTGGTTCCACTGTTCTTCATGGTGAATCGCCCAGTTCCACTGGCCAGGGCCACCTGCAAGTTGATGGCCGCCAGGGTGATCATCTCGTCCTCGGTGCAGGCCACCTCCTCGGTGATGATCGCCCATCGGAGCTGCTCGTAGATGTAGTTCACCCGGGCGACGTCCACCTTGGGGTTGAGATCGTAGAAGTCGTAGAACTTGTACTTGAGCAGGAGGAGGTCGTAAGGGGCGACGTCCTGCTCGTACAGGCTGATGCTCGAGTCGAGCCAGGCGGCGTTCAGGCGGGCCTTCTCCAGCGCCGACTTGGGGTGAAGGAGGCTGGCGCCGCCATTTCGAACACTTTCCGGCGAGCCTAGACTGTAGTTGCTGATGCTGTTCAGCGAGTTGTTCGAGCTGATCGTCCCGTAGGAGACGTTCAGCTGGCTGGTGTTTGACTGTCCTCCCAGAGTGCCATTTCCGTTGGCACTTCCGTTTCCGTTTAGGGTTCCATTACCGTTTAGGGTGCTGCGAGAGGGCGACTTTAACCAAGAGGAAGAGGAGGAGGAGGAAGGTGATCCATTTGACTGTTTAAAAGTGGTGGGCGGCGTCAACGGCCTCTGCAGGGTGTTCTGCTTTACATTTAGCTGGGCGTGGTTGCGTTTGATGGCCGCTCGGGAGAGCGGTCGGGCAAGGGAGAGCTCCTCGGGGTGGCGGATGGCCAGTGTGCTGGTGGCCAGCTGGGCGACGGTGGCGAGGACATTGAGGCTGAAGTCCACGGAGAGCTCGGCCACTGTAAGGTCGGGCATCTGCAGGCGAAGGGGCTTGTGCATGGGCGTAAAGTGCAGCTGGTCGTTGGCGTGCACGTCCGCCTGGTCGAGGGTGGTTCGGGTGGATTTCAGCCACTGGCGCTTCTTGGGCCACCAGAAGGCGTAGTCGGACCAGTCCTGGTTGATGGCTAAAGAGAGGGAGAAAGGGGGAGGGTGATAAGGTTCTGATGATAAGGTTTTACTTATAAGAAAATACACTTACGAATGGCATTGGTTGTGGCGACCATCACCTGGCCGATGCTGTAGTCGCCGCGCACCTTGATGCAGAAGGACTGTGGCTGGGGTTGACTATGACTGTTTTGGTGATGGTGGACTTCATGTTCGGGAGTGGTCGGCTGCTGATGGAGATGACCATTAGTGGTGGTCGTGTTGTTCGAGCTGGTCGTACAGTCGTTCCAGCTGCCGTTCAGTGGTGGACTGTGGTTGCCGCCACCGTTGCTTCCTTCGAAACTGTCGAGGATGATGTACAGTGGCCAGGTACGGTCGTAGGCCATTATCGGAAATGAGAAGTTTAGTTGTCGATGATGATATTATCTGCTATTGGTCAACTGGTAAACTGAAGAATTCTGAAGGGCAAAAGAGGAAAAAAATTGGAGGGTTAGAATTAGAGGATGCTCTCTGCAGTACGCCGCACGGTGNGTGGAAGATGAGAAGTTTAGTTGTCGATGATGATATTATCTGCTATTGGTCAACTGGTGAACTGAAGAATTCTGAAGGGCAAAAGAGGAAAAAGAAATTGGAGGGTTAGAATTAGAGGATGCTTTCTGCAGTACGCCGCACGGTGAAATGATTTAGTATGAGGATGGAAAAGAGATTTAATCGCTGCTTTTCTGTCTTTCTGGTTAGCAGACGTCAACTGACAACGGAATGACAGGAAATGAGAGCAAACAGTAGAGTAATAACAACTTGGGGAGGGGAACTGAACGACTGGAAAACAAAACAAATGGGAAGAGGAGAGAGAGAAAGTGGCAAACGCACACGACTGACGCGAGAGCTGAATGGCTGACTCTCTTCGAATGATGATGGTTTCCTCTACACTCCACTTTCGCTTTCTCTTAGCCACTAGCCACATTAATTGAAGCAAATTAGCTCGGTGGTCCTTCAAAAGGAGAAATCCTTCTAGCCACTAGTGCAGCTAATTCACAGCCACCACTTTAATCGACACTAATTTCCATTTGACAGATTTTGCAGTCTGAAACTGAGGCTCAGGGGAAGCATACCAACGGCACAGCACAGGACATCACAGTACCTCTTTGATGCCGCCACAAGTGCGTCTTTTCCCCTTCCCTGATCAGCAGCTGCACCAGTGCACTACCACTG